ATTTTACCAATAGTTATGCTGTGCAACCGAATGTACCATGCGCATGGTGCATACGGTTCAAAACGACGTCGTTTTGATTAAAAACGCGCGTCCCACTTAAAAAAAAAAATCAGGTTCGACTCTCAGTAATAGCATTATTGTGGATATATAGTTATGAAATTGTGGATATATAGTTATGAAATTGTGGTTATATAGTTATGAAATTATGGATATTTAGTTCATTCATTGTGGATATTTAGTTCAATCATATATTGTTGATATTTAGTTCATTCATTGTGGATTTTTACTTCATTCATTCATTCATTGTGGATTTTTACTTCATTCATTCATTCATTGTGGATTTTTACTTCATTCATTCACTGTGGATATATAGTTATGAAATTATGGATATATAGTTATGAAATTGTGGTTATATAGTTATGAAATTATGGATATTTAGTTCATTCATTGTGGATATTTAGTTCATTCATTGTGGATTTTTACTTCATTAATTCATTCATTGTGGATTTTTACTTCATTCGTTCATTCATTGTGGATTTTTACTTCATTCATTCACTGTGGATATATAGTTATGAAATTGTGGATATATAGTTATGAAATTGTGTATATATAGTTATGAATTTCTGGATATATAAAAATGCTATTGCCGGGAATCGAACCTAATTTCTTCTTTAAGTGGGACGCGCGTTTTTTTAACCAAAACGGCGCCGTTTTGCAACCGTATGCACCTTGCAAGGTGCATTCGGTTGCACAGCATAATTTGCGTAATTTTACCTAACCATTCTATTTTTAATAGTATTGAACATTTTACAATAAAATAGAGACTAATGATATATTTAAACCGGCCCAATTGTAATTGGTAAATTATTGTGTGGACCATGAATATCAAGTACATTTTTAATATATTAAAAATACATTATTTTTGTAATGAAGGTACATTATATAAAATAATGTACCCAGTACCCTTAGTATATTAAAAATATACTTTTAAATTAAAAATGTACCTTATGTACATAAATAATATACCCTTAGTATATTAAAAATGTACTTTTTATTCATGGTCCACACAATTGTGTGGACCATAGTCCATGCAATAATGATTGATTATAATTAGAATGGTAACTATGGATTTTGGCAAAGATGTATGGACCACGGTCCAAAACGACGTTAAATTTTATGAGTTAGAATAATGTACTTTATGTGTTAAAATAATGTACATTATGTGTTAGAATAATGAAATTTTAGGGGTGAGATAATGTACTTTACGAGTTAGAATAATATACATTATGAGTTATAAAAATGTATGATGCAGTGGGTAACGTCAAAAAAAAAAAAAAACAAAAAAAAAAACAAAACAAAACAAAACAACATCATTTTTGAATCAGGGTTGATAGTGCAAGGCGGTATTCATAGTATAACAATTGAGGCAATAGCTATCCTACACTCCATAAACATGTAGCTCACACGTGGTAAGCATTACATTATGGTAATGAACATTTCATTCAAACACGAAGTGAGCAGAGACTTATGGTATAATTTGCTCATTACTAAGCCTGAAACACCATTTTAGCTTCACTCAAAAATGGAACGTCATGTAACAATGATGCTACATAATCACCATTTGCAAAATGAAAAATGCTTTGTTGCCCTCATAAAATCCCTCCTGGCATGACTTATAAGAGTAACATCATTAGTGTACATTTTTTGTTGATTTTTTATGTCCAGGAGTAGAAAAAAAAAAAAAAAAAAAAAAAAAAAAAAACTCTGACACGAAAAAAAAAAAAGTAATAATAATAATAGTAACAGTTTCTTTATGCGCCCAACTGTTGGGCGCAAAGTTTCCCACACGCGGGAGTGGAGTGGAGTGGCGGCTGCTTTCTCTCCTTACCTCATTCAATGGACTCAAAAACCACTCTGGAGCATCCAATTTTCGCTTAGCTGAAGCAGCTTCAGATACCCTTGAATCAGAAACATTTTCTTTCTCTAATGAAACATGTATAATAGGCACATAGACAGAGGAAACAGTACTAAAAACATGTAGAGATGGAACAGGATCAGAGAGCAGATCAGGCTGAGGGAATGCGACAGACCTGGACCAGAGACAGACGCATTTTGCAGATTGACAAATTGAGCAACATTGCGAATGAAAAAATCAGCAAGAACGGATTTAGCAATATCAGACCCAGAAACCAAATTTGACTCATCTGGAACATGAAAAACAGAAGCTGGGACAAGTTCAGGCACATTGGATTGTTTGACACAGGCAAAGATGAACCAGAGGGGATTCCTAATGGAACAACACCGGGCTGACACACATGCACAGATTCAGACAGTATGAGTAGGAATTGAACCAGTATAAATCACAGTGGATAAAGGGAAAATGCACATAACTTTTAAAAAAAAAAAAACACACATTATGCACATTTATAGCAGATAAAGAACTCACTGGTGGAAAATGAGAGCTACGAAATTAGTCAGACAGATTAACAGTAAAATTAAGCTTCCTAGATGCGGGTATTAAGGAAATACCCTCTAAAGATTAAGGAAATGATGTTACCAAGGCTTGGGATAAATCTCTTGAAGCTTGCAGGGAGGCGAGAATGGCGGCACCTCACTTCTTCGTCATCAACACAATCATTTTTCAGAGGACATGGCTCAGCAGTGACGTTTCTCGTCATGGCTAGAAGCTGTCTGGACTCTTTAGTGGTTAAATCATCCAGAAACTCTCAATTTTGAAAGAGGGTTGCTAAAACCCTATTCTCAGCCGAATGATAAAGCGGAGAATTTGCATTGATTATTTGGCAGAAAAGGGTGTCGCTCTCGAGTTTTGTCTTGTAGATGAGAAAAGGATTGGTCATTTTCAAAAAGCTTGATTCTTTGGCTATGGACGATGATTTCAGGTGGAGGAGATGAAGGGAAATTCACCACCACTTTATCCAGGGTTGGCTAGTGATAGAGAATTTCCCTTCATCTCCTCCACCCAAAATCATCCTCCATAGCCAAATAATTATTTTTTTTTAAATGGCCAACGCCTTTTTCAACTACAAGACAAAATCCGAGAGAAACACCTTTTTTTCCGCTAAATAATCGATGCAAATTCTCCGCTTTCTTATTCGGATAAGAATAAGGTTTTAGCAACCCTCTTGCAAAATCGAGAGCTTCTGGATGATTTAACCACCAAGGAGTCCAGACAGCTTCTAGCCATAACGAGAAACGTCACTGTCGAGCCATGGCCTCTGGAAAATGATGGTGTTGATGACGAAGAAGTGAACGAAGCCGCCATTCTCGCCTCCCTGCAAGCTTCAAGAGATTTCCCAAGCCTTATTAACATCATTTCCTTCATCTTTAGAGGGTATTTCCTCAATACCCGCGTCTAGGAAGCTTAATTTTTCTATTAATCTGCCTGACTAATTTCGTAGCTCTCATTTTTCATCAGTGAGTTCTTTATCTACTCCTATAAATGTGCCAAATGTGTGTTTTTTTGAAGTTATGTGCATTTCCCCTTTATCCATTGTGATTTATACTGGTCTAATTCCTGCTCATACTGTCCCTGAATCTATGCATGCATGTCAGCCTGGTCCTATTCTAGTAGGAATCCCCTCTGGTTCATCTATGCGACTATGCCTATGTCACAATCTAATGTGTCTGAACCTGTCTTAGCTTCTGTTTTTCATGTTCCATATGAGTCAAATTTGGTTTCTGGATCTGATATTGCTAAATCTGTTCCTGCTGATTTTTCCATTCGCAATGTTGCTCAATTTGTCAATTTGCAAAATGTGTCTTGTCTCTGGTCCAAGTTTGTCCTTTCCAGTGTCTGTCCCATTCCCTCAGCCTAATTTGCTCTCTAATCCAATTCCACCTCTACATGTTTCTAGTATTGTTTCCTCTGTCTCTATGCCTATTATACAAGTTCCATTAGAGCAACCTTCCCATAAACGGAAAGACAATGTTTCTGGTTCAGGGTATATGAAGTTGCTCCAGCTAAGCGAAAATTGGATGATTCTGATGATGTTATATTTGTATCTGAAACCAAACATCGCAAGAAAGGTGGTTCATCTGTTCCAACCAGGATGACCAGGTCCAGGGCTTTCTCTACCCCTCCAGCATCTACTATAGCCTCTAACTCGAGAAGCTCAAAACACTCTAAATCAAAGTCTTTCAGACTAATTCTGTTGAGTGATGATCATATGGATGCTTGGAAAGTTCACTCCAAAAGGGAACTCCTTGAAAATTCATTCATGAGGATGACTTAATTGCAAACTGCTCACCCCATTTGTTAGAAAACCCACCCTAAATATTTTTCTTAGCAAAAAACCACTATTGTGGTTGCCATAACCATTGAGTGTCATGAACTGGTTGACTCCAGTAACTTGTTATCAAAACTAAACCATTCAATGAAAGTGTCGTGCCAAGAGAGGAGATTAAAAGGATAAAATTTTAGAGGGGTGGATAGCACTCCAAGTCTCCAATCACAGTTCCCATGTATTGGCATCCAAAGGAGTTGTAAGATAGATGGTCCAAAGAGTTCTCAACAAAGTGAATCCCACAATTTCAAGCCCTCAAAATGCAATATTGGCTGTGCTAGCCAACCAGGTCACCAATGGCAAATTATTGTATGGACCATGGTCCACACAGCTGTGTGGACCATGGATGCAATATATATTTTTAATATACTAAAAGTACATTATTTGTGTACTGAATGTACATTATTTGATAATATATAAAAAATCATGTACTTTCAAATAATGTACCCACTTTATGTATACAAATAATGTACTTTTAGTATATTAAAAATGTATTTTTTGTTTATGGTTCACACAAATGTGTGGATCATGATCAATGGAATAATGATTGGTCCTCAATAAAGAAGATCCCAAGTTTTTCTATAAAAATGTTTTCTCGAAGTTACAATGACAAACTGTCAGTGGTACAACTATCTGCAATTCAGAAGTGCAAGCACTGATTTTTATTTGAACACATCAGCCCTCTAGGACGGAGTATGAGCAATTACCATGCATTTGGCAGCAAAGAAAAACCAATCCAAATCATTCATATTTTAAACCTGACCTAGAAAACGCATTACAACTGTACATACATGCATTGATGATGAAAATCATAACTGAAATCTGTACAAAGAACTGAAGTATCGCACCCAGAATCTTAGACCCTCTCTAACCTGATATAGGAGCCATCAGCTTCTATTAGCCCTTTTAGATGCAATCAAGACTGAGATTTCTACAAGAATCTGGGGACCTAGCACTGGCACACTGCAGCTTTTGCATCCATGGCGACTGGTAACTCTGTTAGAAATTCATCATTTACATCAAAGGTTAAATTCGTAACCATCTTCACAAAACCGCATTACCTTCTCAAGTTAAAAGAACTATCAAGACTTATCCAAGGGTTGGGTGTTGTAACTTACGTATGGTTTAGTGTCACATGAGGCAAGTATACTTTAATTTTAGCCTTCTAAAATTGACAGCAGTACAGGACAAGCAGAACTGTGCTTTTCAATCAATATATTTCTTCGGTGTTTAAATTTATTGGTAAATATGTACCTTTAATCTTAATTTTGTTGTTGTTGTTGCAAGTATTCCTGCAATGCCTGACATTTTTCTAGATGAAGCTATATTCTTCAAACAATAAATCTTTTGTCACATGCTATTTGTCTGTCTTGATTTTTGCATCATTTTGCAAGAACATGTTTTCAGACAAAAATTCTCGGAGTTACATCAAAACAAGTTTTCCAAAGAACTTTGGTTCACTCCAAAAGACTTGAAATGGTTAATTTGGAGGGCCGTGCCTTGTCTGAAGAGAGTTCAATCAGTTTTAGTGATGTTTTAATCTCTCAAGTTAGATTGGGGCTTTCATAGTTTAACACAATATATCAACTAAAAGGCTCCAAAGACATAAATAAAAAATAGATGTTACCATTAAAAAACCAGCAAAACAGCTCTACAGCAAAAACTAATAAACTAACTGATTAAGTGGCTGTGGTATCATGTAAAAATATTTCACCTTTTACAAAAACAATGTGAAAAATACGTGTATGTCACCAAACTCATACCTTACTCCTGTTAAGTTACAGAAGAACAGGTTAAATTACCAATTCTTTTAAAGCCTCAATTCGTTGAATTTTCCTAACTGTGGTAAAAATGTTAAATACCACCTAAACAAAAAGATCCCAAGGATGTTTAACTGTTTATTATAATATGTACATGATAAGAAATGTGTATCAGTGTGCCCAATGTGAAAAGCACCAGTCTTAAAATGTTACTTTTATCATCATGGAGGAGCTTCTATATACCACCGAGACCAGCAATACATCTCTTGGTATGATGAAGTCGCTCATTACACTAGCTATATTCATGGATCCTAACGTTTCGGGGATTAAAAACTAATTAAGAGTAATCTATGTTGACTGATCCTGCATTTCAAGCCATACTTCACATGGCAAAATTTGCAAAGAGCATGGCATGTTACCCTTTGGCATTATTCCAAGGTTAACTAGGCTGGAGACTGCAGTCGTTATCCTTTCAGCCTTCCCGGAATTTCTATTACAAGATTCACTTAAGTTCAAAAAGAATTGAGAGTGCCTTTACATTCCTATTCTAGCGCTAAGGTTGCTCCTTTCAACATGCTAAAGCTTTCAATACAGTCCTAATTTTTCATGTTATACATCTCAAATTGGAAGTCACTGATCAGTATAGAATTGCCCCCACAATCAAGGGTCCGAAAAATGGCATTTACTCTTTTAAAAATACTCATGATATTTGATTGTTTGCAGAATTTCATCCAATTTTCCCTTGAAGTGTGGCTGTTTTCTTCATGATTTTCAAACTAAAATGAGAAATCCATTAGTTCAGATTAATGGGGTTGATCCACAAAGTAATGGCCTTCTATATCAACACAATGGACAGAAAACCGTTAACAGACTACATTCAAAAAAACATTTTTATATTAAGTCAAAAACAGTATTGGCCGAGCTCAATTCACATACTTTGGCTCAAATTCATGAGGTCAAAGAGGCAAAAATTGAAAATTTTCCTTTGAAACACTGTTCAATCAAAATGATCATCATGGGGATTTTTAGATACTGAAATACAGCTTTTACTCCTTAACAGAATCATTCTGCTCTCAATTCTCAAATTTTATGAACACAGAGCTTAATAACAATCATTTTGACCAAACTCTTTAGGAGATTGCACCCACAAAATTGTTTGTCATTATTTTAATCCCAAAATGTAAGCTGGACTAAATTTGTTCATTAGGAAAAAACTAAATTATAAGTTTTGGGGAATTCCCCAAAACTTACCATAGAGAAGCAGAAGTCCGGGCATCCATGTCGTTGTAAAATTGAGTGAATCGCCGGCGATTTTCAGGTTTTGGTTTGACGGGTTTTTTCCTCAACCCAAAGATTTCTTGGACAAGTGGAACATGAACCAACACTAACTTCCAAGCCAAAAACCAACCTGCGAACAACCCATCAACAGTGAGATC